ATGCCGTTTGTTTTGATAGGGTTGACCTTAAATCTGTAGATCGCTTTGACATCCTTTTTACAGCATGGATAAAACCAGAGGCTATCACACTAAGTGTAATAAGCTAATGAGAAAGACAGCTACTGCATGATCCCACTTACATTAGGGATCTAAGAAAGTCGAACTCATAGTAACAGAATAGAATGGTGGTTACCGGGGCTGGGGGAAATAGGGGTATGTTGGTCAAAGGGAACAAACTTACAGTTATGAGATCAGTAAGTTCTGGAAACCTAACGTACATCATGGCGACTAGAGTTAATAATGTGTCTTTGAAACTTGCTAAGAGAGTAGATCTCAAGTGTCCTTACCACAAAGAATAAAAAGTTAACTGTACGAGGTAATAAATGTGTTAAGTAGCTTGGTTTTTGGACATCATTTCACAGTTTTTACATATATCAAGATATCATGTCATATACCTTAAATATATACAATTTTTATTTGTCAATCATACCTTGATAAAGCTGGAAAGAATTAAATGCAAAGGGAAGCCATTGGAAGGCGTTAAGCTTAAGTGTGACGTGATCTGAGTTTTCTTTAAGTTCCGTGTGGCCAGTGTGTGGGCAGTGAGGACAGGCATGAACCAGGGCAGCTAAGGGGCCTCCCTGTCATCCGGGCAGACGATAAAGGTGCTCCAGTGAGCATAAAGCAAAGAGGTGCGACTTCAGAGGTGGACCCAACAAGCCTTGCTGATGTGTGGGGACCAGGGACAGCGAGGGATGCAGGGTCATTCCCAGATTATGAAGCTTTCCAGATGGTGTTGCCAGAAATGGATGAGGAGGACCGGGTGTGCTTCGAGGGGTGGGGATAGGAGGCCAGGAACCGGGACGATGGGGGCACGTGGAGCCGGCAATGCCGCGTGGCTCTCAGAGTGGAGATGTCACACAGGCAGGTGCCTACGAGTCTGGACACTGTGTAAGTGAGAGCGTCTGTAAGACCGTCCTCTGAATGCTTCTACTCAGGAGCCTCGTGATGGCCTCAGTTGCAGAAGCCTCCGTCACATCTCCATGGCTGTCCCCTGACACTTGAGGACCAGCAGTAATGTGTTGGGGGCGGTGTTTCTTGGGAAGTTTCATCGGAATCTCATAGAAGGCTATCTCCTTCCCCACTTAAAAAAAGTACCTTGTACCTTGCGTCTGGAGTTCAGTGCCACGTTTTAGAGTTTGGAATTCTTAGAAAACCAGGAATTCCTGGAAATCACGGCAAAGGGCAGGGGTTTCCGCCTCTGGGTGGCAACTTCACGTGGGGCCATTTACCAAGCTCGATTTCTGAATTTTACCAGGAGGAGACAGTTTGCAGTGGGGAGCCCTTTCTGCATAAAGTTTGGTCCAGCCTCACTCACATCTATATCACAAAACGACGTGTAATTTACGGCACACTCATCCCGTGTAGCTCATCACAGCTCCTGGGGCTCCTCACACCAAAGATGCGACTTCGCCTCCATTTCGTAATGGTCTGGGCGATCTGTGCTGCCTTCTCGGCCATGTAGGTCACGTTCAGCCCGCGCCTGCCAGGACACCTCTTCCCTTCCCAGTCATGAGCGTGGGAAGTGTTTCGTTTTCTCCCGTAGGTCTCACTTCTGAAATTCCCGCTTGTTACTAAACCAATGTTTGCCTTCCACTCCTGCCCACAACACTACACCTGCTGTCGCACAGGGCCAGGGACCGTCACGGAGTCGCAGTCGAAGGGCGTGGGCGTGTGAGGCCCTTTCCCTTCAGGACTCGAAAACTGGAAAAAGCTCAAGTTTTGGGCTTTAACGATCCAGTTAGAAAAATTCAAGACCTATTGTCAGAGCTCCGAATCTTTCCTTTCAGACGTTTGAGAAAATGAAGTCCAGCCTTAGGGCACATGTTAAATCTGTTTGCTAAGGGATGGGCCATTGTATCAATAGTTGACAGTTGTCATTAAGCGCTCCATACTGTGAGGTAGGAACTATTCTTATCCTCATTTTACATCTGGGGAAACTGAGGCACGGGCTGACTTTGTGTTTACCAAGTGTGGCTCACATGTAAATGTGGAACACAGACTTACTTTTGAAATGGATATAGAGTTTTATCCTTATTTCCTGCTTAAGATGATTCTGGGTTAATATTCAGGAAAAGTGGCAAAAGCTTTCAGAGAGTTAAAGCCAGTCGTACACAGCGACGGCAAACATCATAAGGGGGCAGGGCTGTCCCTAGGGTGTGTGGGTCTGGGCAAATATTCTTTGTGGGGCTCCCGTCCGCATAAACAATCTGAGTCGTCCTCACGTCAGTGTCTCAGCATCATTCTGGTGGTCCAGTCTCGCATGATCCCACAAAAGAAAAAATAAAAACAGTGTGCTGGCCGTCAGGAGCAATCTGCCCACCAGGAAGCTCTTCCAAAAACTGGCTTGGACCCTTTAGGTGTAGGTTCAGGAGCCCTTTGGGGCACTGAATGGAAGAAATGGGAAGTAGCTGGTCCCAGCCACCAGAGGGGGGACAACAGGCATTTCAAGGTAGGCACTTCCGGCAACCAGAACCCAGGCAGGACCCTGTCTGCACTTGGGACCCCCCGCCCACATGGTACTGCTGGTTTCCTTCTTGGAAAGTCCCCCAGGCGGCCTTCCAAGAGCAAGGGGGGTGGTGGGGTGGAGTGGTCCCTGGGGAGGGCACTCTGCTTCCCTGGGGTTTAAGGGTAGCACCGAGGAGAGGGATGGATTTTGAACATTACATTAAGACTTAAATAGCCTTCACTCCCAAACCTCTTAGGTGCTTTAGCTCTAAGGGGTAAGATAAAAGCTGTGGTTAAGGAGGAAGCCAGCTGGATATCTCTAGTGTTTACAGTATCTAATTCTGTTTGGGGGTTGATGGGAAAAGATACTTCTTTTCTTAACTTTGGAATTTTGTAAGATGTTCAAACGGATGGACGGCATTTGCCTTCTAAGTGGCCAGCTCTGCCCAGTTGTAAATGCTCTCGGACCCCCTGCGAGGGGCCACCAAGGTGGACATTGTAAACCTAGTTTACCTGCGTGTTGGCTCTAAAGAGGTCTAGGGGTGCAGAGTATAGCAGAGCTGCAGGGGAGAGAGCGGGGAGAGACTCGCGAATAGTTGCTGCCTCATAGGGCTGAGCTGAGGAGCGGACATACACGTGGTTATGTGCACACACGAGAGGTTCCTCGCCGTATGAACTCAAAAAGGAAAAGGGCCATTTGAGCGGCCCCTCTCGAGAAGAAAAAAAGACACCAAAGTAGCCAGTGCTTTCAACTGTTTTTATTGCTAAACTATCATGATACAAGCCGTATAAAAATACTTTACATATAGCAAAAATAAACTACATTACACTGGAGATTAAAAACGTTTTGCATAGGAATGTGATGTATTCAAACTCTTTTAACAGTCGAGATTTTCAACACCTAAGCCTTCCAGCACCAGCCAGTTGGAGAGACTTGTTTGCTGTAGAACTAATTAGGACATCCTCAACATCTTCTCCCCTCTGAGGGCTGTAAGAGGCAACGGGGGGGTAAGTGAGGTTGTTGGACATGTTGTTCTAGATGCTAAGCTTGTCCCAACCACAGCCAGTCAGAATGCTGGAAGCACTTTCTCTCGTGGAAGCAGCATCATTTGCATCCAGTTCGACCAAACCCTGAACCACACACGTGGAGTTTATTCTCATTGGGCAACAGCTGCATGCAAGGCAGAGCATTAAACCTTTCTTCCAGCACCCAGCGCCCCCTCTCATCTTCAGAGGGTTTGCCTAGGGAGCATCTCTAGCTCACCAAACACCAGAAAAGTTTGTTTTTTAAACAAGTTGAGTTAAAACAGTGATGTTGGCTATAAGTCAAGGCACTCATGAAACCTGAGGGTAATTGATATTTGCCATCAAAGGTTTATGCGATGCATCTTTTTCTTAAGCATTTAGTTGAAATGCAAGAAAACACGTGCATTGGTTGATTTGGCTCCATGAGACTGACGACTCATGCCTGGAAGACCCAAGTAAGATATGCTGGTACCTGCTCAAGAGCTGTCTCCCCCACCCCCACCCCCCAAAAAAATGAGTTTGGGAACGTGTACCCCCACTTGTCAAGAATGTCACAACCCCATGCTTCTTGTAAACGTAAAGTGAAAAAGTTGTTAAGTGGACCCCTGACATTCTTTCAAAATTCTGAACAATAGAAAGCACTTGGAAAGTGTCTTTTGACATGAAAATGAATTCTGCCTCCCTTCAGTCCAGAGTGACAATTAGAACACATCAGCTTCCGATCTGTCTAAATGTGACAGCTCTTGCACTGGCCACGTCTGGCTTCCCGAGACGGATGTCTCGGCTACTAGGTGTAAACAGGAAAGGCTGCATCAGTGCGTCCCAGTTCTTGGAACCAACTCAATCCATCCTAGCTTGTGTCTGTGCTGGAACGCTGGATGTGCTTAGCCTAACCTGTGTGGTTACCTACCAGGGTTCCGTCGGCACTGTGGACATCAGCCTGCCCTTGGGGAGTGTCTTGTGATTGTGACCTCTTCTAAAATCCCATTATAACACAGGCAGCTTTTCTTTCTTTTTTTCTTTTTCTTTTTCTAAATCAAGATCATCTGCTTATTGGGGAATCTAAACACTTTACAATTCTCAGTGAAAAGATCGAGGCTCAGAGCTTGCAGTCAGTCAGCATCAGACTCCGGCAAGAAACAGGTGGTCCTTCTTCCACGAAGCCACTCTGTCCTTCCTCCAGAGGAGCTTCTGTTTAGGGGACAGGTGACTGCCTACCAGGCTCTGAGGTGAGATTTTGTTTTGTTTTGTTTTTTTCCTGGAACAATGAACAGATTTTCAAGAATACATCATTTCTCTTAGGAGAAAAGCAAAATCATCAACATATATGTAAAAAAGAGACACTTGAAAAAGACTTCTGACCATTTATAAATATTTTTCTAATTCCAACAGGGGTGTGATATTTTGAGGACAGATTAAAAAGCATAAAAATACAGATAAGAAAATAAAATTTAATAACATACTAATTAATTTGGATCGCTATTATATATTATCAAGCAGCAGTATTTTTGTACAATGCAGGAAGACTCATCCACTTTGGATACAGACGACATTCAGCAGCCCGGTTGCTGTTGCAAGTGCTAGCTACATATTTACATCACCTCGAATGTAGCAAGTGCAAACCTCCACCTAACCATGACCTAACCCTTCTGACACACGTGCAGCACACACACCTTAGACATCCTCGCTTTCTCATTCTCTTAGAGGATATGATTGCCTCTTACCATCCTGAAACTATCTCATGAGGATTTTTTACTCTTGGCAAAATTTCCTCCTGGCATTTGTAACTGACAAGACCCTCCCGACAGCTGTCAGTTCCCAGTACACGTTCCGTTGCCTGTTTATGTCTCAAAACCAGTGCTTCTGTTTCTCCTTCCTTTGCTATTTGGTATAGTTGTTTTCTGGAAGTGTTTTCCTGTAATATCCAGCTCAGATGTCTTAGAAAAAGAGCGTTGGAGTGTGTATTATACGCACACACGTACAACATATACACGTAGAGGAGTTTGAACTATCAGGAGGCCGTTTTCACTAACGGGGTTAGAAAACCGATGGAAAATGCATTCATTAGTCTTTTTCCACCCTGTGCTCAGTGAAGCTGAGCGACTTTGCTACAATAGCAGGAAGGCACTTGGGTAAAACATTCAGATAACTGAGGAAAGGCCAAATTCCCTCATGTGCAAAAAATGGCTCCTAGCCAGGGCAAGTGAGAACAAGTCACTTGCCAAGCACTTCGGCTCTTCCCTGGTGAATTCGGTGTTGCTGGCGGGAAAGGTCTCTGGGTAAAGCTGCTTGGATCAGGAACTCTGTAATAATTAGGAAGAATTTTGCATCGCCGAAGCTTTGCAACAGCCGTTACCTTCTTACTGTCATTGTTTAAAAGAATTTCGCAAAACTCCGTGCTTGGGGTGGCTGGAGAAGAGGTCCCCAGTTGTTGGGGGAAAATAAATGCTCGGACTTGACCAAAAGGTTACAGACAGGTGGATGCAAAGGCCCTAACGTGGACATTCTGTCCTCTGTCTGGGACGCCACACACACCAGGCACAGTCACCAAATCCTGGGCTCCTAGCCCAGCTCGCAGGAGGGTTTTGCCTCTGGGTAACCTTGATGAGAAAGCCAAGACGGAGAAAACCCAAGCGGGCCCTTCACCGCCACGATTCCCTTCTCGGCCTCTGCCCAGCAGATTTGGTTGAGAAATCACTGGAAGGACAGCCTTGTGGAGAGTGCTCGGGATGCTCACACTGTGTCGATTACTAGGGAAGCAGCCAAATGGCTGGAAATGAATCCCCGGCTCCTCTTGGGGTGTCTGCAGTAAATGCAAACAAAACACATCCTGGTGATAAAAACTCACTGAGAACTTCGAGGGTTTTGTGTGCAATAATTGCACAAAAAGAAAAAGACTCTAGAAGACCCTGGGTGTGCTCAGTGGTAAGAAACAGCCGGGGGAGGGGGAGAGGGGGAATCACACACACCTGGTCATTCGATCTAAGGGACGGGCCTCTGTGAGCGGACCTGCTTCTATCCAGATGAGCCCTGTGCTGGACCTGGCAGCTGATGCAGATGGGTTTGGGGCCCGAGCAGGGCTTTGAATGAGTTCAGGTAAAAAATAACCACAGGGCCAACCCCTGAGCTTGAGTGTCCTACTTTGAGTGTAGGCCAGAGAGGGGAGAATTCAGCCCTTTTCTTCCATCCGGGGGGGGGGGGGCGGGGCAGGCGGGGAGGGAGCACTCACAGAAACACTTCGGGTGCTGCCTGCCTCATTCCACAACCATTTTACTTAAAAATACCTGTACTTTTTGGGGGAGGGCGGGGCGGGGAGGGTTTGCTTTAGGCCTTCCGCCATTCCTTCTCAACATTCAATGTACACGCTTGAGATTCTTCTTAACGACTTCATGGGAAAGCACTCTGGCTGTTAGGAAGAAAGCAAGCAGGACCGTCCGAAAGCTGTTAGGTTGCAGGCGGCAGCAGACGGGGCTCGCTCTGCAGCCTGGGCGACTGTCTCCAGTCCATGACCACACGCTGCAGGACGAGGAGCAGCTGGCCGAGAAGGCTCCACCTTAGCCGCCTTGGCCAGCTTTTCGAAGCAGGCAAAAAGTGTACACATGTCATAACTTAACGCCAAGAAGTTTTAACAGGTGATCTGGTACGGGCCAGACAGTTTTGCTTCAGAATGGGAACTTAAAAAGGAGCCGTGGCCCAGGGGCGGTGGCATGGGATAGCTGACCCCTAAGGACGGTGGTCTGGCGTCTGCATTCCTTCGCTGTAAGCGGACTCGGGCCCCGTTCTTTCTCTTGTTCTGTTGGAGAACCCCTTTCCTTCAAAAGGTACAGGAGCTGTATCTGTGACCTGGAAAAATGAACGCAAGGGCTGGGGTTTAATCACGGGGCCCACGTCCTCCGCCCCCGCCCAGCCCGTGCCCTGCGCTCCGGACGCTCCGTGGTCGGGCGGGTTCCGACGCGCTGTCTCGTTCAGAATTGTGTTTTTGGTCAGCAGGCACTTAAGGTTTGGATGGGACACACCGTTAAAAGTCAACCGAGATGCTCTTTGGGATTTAAAACAAAACAAAAACAAATCGAAAGGCAGAGCGTCCTCTCTGGTGTTTCTAGAGGGAGGTGGCGAGCTCTTGAGTCAGAGTCAGCTTTCTGCCAGAGCAGCGTCCCGCGTGTGGACTCCGGGCCCGAAGGTGGACAGGAAAGGAAACAGAGGTGAGGGCAGCGGGAGGCTCCGAGGGGTCAGATACGGGAGGTGTCTTGCTAATGGCTTCTTCTACGTCTGATTTCTGGCGGGAGGTCCTGAAAACTCCTTCCTGATAATTTCATTAACTACAAGAGAAGAGAGAGAGAGAAAGAGAGAGAGAGGGAGGGAGGGAGGACGAGTCAGAGGCCACCGAAATCACGGATCACATTCGCTTTCTAGAACCTAAAGCAATCGGGCTGTTTTTTTTAAAAAAAAAAACACATTTCTGGTTTCTGCGGTAATGTGTTTAACAATTTTTAACAGAAGAAATGACTTCCTACGTTTTTTTTTTCCCCCCCGGGCAATAATATTTTGTGATACAGATTTGTCGGTGACAATGTCCAAATGGTTAACTTTAAAAAATCGTGGTGGAAACGGAGCTGGGCTCTCGCCTTTGTATCTAATGCACGTTAGGCTCTTTACCAAACTCCTTCCATCCAGGAAATACCTACTCCGTGACCCAAATAGTTCCCTGACCCGTAAAACATACAGCTCTCCAAAGAGGGGCCTTTTAAAAAGAGTTGGTGAGAACACCTGAGACAAAGACTCGCCATCAGTGGAAACATAATCATTTCTTTCAGCAGAACCAGGGTTCCCCCCCCACACTTTCACGCCCCCTCCCCACCCCCCACACGCATTGCCAATCTCCTGAAGGGGAAAGTGTCTTCAGAAGGGCCCTGGAAAATGCAGTCACCCCTTGCCCCAGAAAAATCTGTGGAATTCCTAGCAGAGAACCAAGAATGCAATGCCAGCCACGGGCATCGAGGAGCTGGCTACGTTCCCCATTGGGCCACAAATCTAGGGCACTAGTTCCTGGAACCAAGGCAGCAAGGTGTTAGAGCAGTGGGTCTTAGGGAGAGGGTTCCTTCTGCATTCTTAGAAAGAAGCTGCCATCAGTGGCAGCCCAGGCACAGGGTGTGCACAGGGTTCAGTTTGGCAGCTGGATAGTGTTGACCGGCCCCGGGGGTGGCAGAGGAGAGGAGGCAGACCCCTTTGGGGTCCCATCAAAGGTAGCTGAATCTCCCCTAAGTTCGGGCACCGAAATCTTCCCACGGCCTCCTCCTTTTTTCTCATCTCGGCCCTAATCCCACAGTTACAGGTGGAAAATTCACGGTGAGGGTTCACTGTTGAGATCTGCTCAAAGCCTCTCCCTGTTCAAGCTGGGGCCTCCGAGGTCCGGGGTGCTGTTCCCAGGGAGACAGACCCCGGCTGGGATGTCTGCAACCCCCATAAGAAGAGGCGAGCAGACAGAAACTGCTGCAGAGCTGGACAAGCCAGGCTTGACTCTCGGCTCCCTCCCTCACTGGCCGCGTGACTTTACCTCTTTGTGCCTCAGTTTCCTCGTCTGTAAAGTGGGAATCGTACTGGTGTGTATCCTTCGGGGCTGCTGTGAGGGCGGTAGGGTCTGCGTACATACAAGCTCCTAGCAATGGCTGGTAAGTGCTTTTCAGTAGCCGTTAGTCACGATGGTTAGTGAGGACCCTGCGTTTTGTGTTGGACCCTGAACCCGTTGCTTTGTTTTATGCCCGAAACCCGTCAGTCACCGCTTGCTGCTGTTCAGACGCAGGCTGGAAGCATGTGCGAGGTGAGCGGTCAGGTTCTGAAGGGCTGGACGGCCAGGCAGAATCCCACGTCTGCCGCTCGCTGCCCCTTGCCTTAGAGCTAGAACTGCTCGGTGCCTCAGTTTCCCCATCCGCAAACTGAGTACAGAAACGTTATCCCGCTTCGAGAGTGGAGCTCGGATGAGGTGGCACAAGTGAAGGAGACCACCGCAGTGCCCAGGACCTAGCAGGTGTTGGCCCGTAGTGTGTACGTGTTAGATACGCACGTATGTACTAGAATGTGACACGTGTGTTAACGTGTGAGAATGTTCGTATCAGAATAACAGACCTTCCCAAAGTGTGGAAATGGATCCGTCCACGGGAACGCAGAGGGTGAACTCACAGACTGGGCTAACCAGCACTGGATGGGCACTCATGGTGTGCCAGGTACCCGCCGACGCCCGGGAACCGCACCCCCTGTGACCCCGCGGGGCCTGGCGAGCGGTGGGGCCGGGGTGGGGCAGGCGTGCCCTTCGTGAGGCGGCCGTGACCGCAGAATGCCAGGGGGCGGAGGGGTCACTGCAGCTTCATGCGAAGCTTTCAAAGCCCGGATTCTGAAGAGCTTCCTGTTTTCTCAGCGTAGGAAATGAGAGGGGTCCATCCTTAGTGGGAACTTTCCACAGCCTCAGCTTTCTAAAAATAGCCGGTAGGCAGAGATGGTGGCACCACAGCCCTCACCAAAGGGTCCAAAGGGTCGTCCCCGGGGCAGGGGTGGGGCAAGCTGGGAGACCCGTCAGGCCAGCGGAAGTGGCCGTCCCCTCCTGCTTCCAGGTAAAGCTAATAGCACGACCCAGACCCTCACCCGGGTGGGGGCAGGGAGCTGGCCGTGCAGGGGGCACCCACTCAAACCCCGCCGAGAGCTCTCGGGGTCGAGGAACCTTCTCTCTCTGAACCTCAGAGCTTGGCTTCCCTGGCTCTGAACAAGGAGAAAGTTCTAGAGCAGCAATGCTAGCTGGGTGGTAGCGATGGCAGCGCAGCCACGTCGTCAGTCTGAGAGCTCGGGCTCCAAGGGCCCTGCTCCTGCCAGGACCTCGCCTCCCGCTGCACGGCGACCACGCTGCCTTCCATTGTGCCCTGGACCAGGTGCCCAGCTCCTGCCCCGGAGCCCGGCCCGGCCCGGCCTCCCCGCCCCCTCCACTTCCCGCCCTCACTCGCTGCCTTCAAGGCTCTGGGAAGCCTGCCCCGGTGGGGGTCTGCGGTGCCCCCCACCCCAACTGCGCACCCCCTTTCCTCCTCCATTTTCAGTTCCTGGCAGGTCAGGAGTGCTCCGTGCGTGTGTTCTCGTTCCCCACTGCCGCCCTAGCCCTCGGACAGTGCTTGGTACTTAGGAAGACCTCAAACTTATTAATCGGTAAGAAAAGGGAAGCTTAGAAAGGGGTTAAGGAGCCTCGGGTCACCCTGTCAGCACTGGGATTTGACCCCCGGTCTGAGTGCTGAACAATATTCTAAGTCATCGCCATCAGCATTTTTCATTCAAGGAATGTTTTGAGCATCTATCCTGTGTCAACCTTTCCTCCCACCTCTTCCCAAATCGGGCCACAGGCGATTCTCCAAATAGTCTCTCTCCTCGTCCAAATCCTGACTTCCCTCCTGCCCCTGTTCCTACACCCCCTTTTCCTGGAAGCCAACTCACAGTCCTACCAGGGGCCCTCCACTCCCTCCAGAAGCTAGTACAGTTGACCCTTGAACAATGTCAGGGCTGGGGCTCCAAACCCCGCCCCCCTTGCATTTGAAAATCTACATATAACTATTAATAGCCCGCTCTATTCAGTAAGGAAGCCTTACTGTATAACAAACAGTTGATTAACTCATATGTTACATGGGTTATATAGTGTCTTCTCGTAACAAAGCTAGAGAAAAGAAAATGTTAAAATCATAAGAGAAGATACATTGAGAGTATTTATTGAAAAAAAAAAATCCACACATAAGTGGACTTTGCCTTTCAAACCATGTTATTCAAGGGCCAACTGTACCGAATTCTCAAAATGCTTTGCTTGTCCCTCTTGTGCCAGGCTCTGTCACCTGTATCCCCACGGTACCATGCAGGTGCCTAACGCGTGCATCTTAGCCCACCACCAGGACCCCACACCACCAGCCTAGGTCACTTGGTTTAGGGAAGCCGATTCTTCGTCACCCATTTGACAGATGGGGTGTCGATCTACGACTTGTCTGAAGCCTTTTCCCTATGAAAGAGTATAAGCCATTCACACTGACTGAGGGCTAACTACGTGCCAGGCACTGCACTGAGCGCTAAGTTATTTCTCACACCAAACCTAGTCATAGTATCGTGCTCGTTTGATGGATGGAGAAATGGAGACAGGCAGGCCCTCGCCAAAGCGGGCGAAGGGGCGGGATCAGGACCTGAACCCAGGGCCCATTTCATTAACCCATATGCTCTGCGGCCGCGTGGCTGGCACAGAGACTGCACTAATAATCTCGGTAGTCGTCACCTTTCTCCTGGGGCCCTGGAGTCCTCTGCATCTAATGTGTGAGTCAGGAAAAAGCAAGGGCGGCCTCTGCTAAGTCAGCGACGGAAGAGGCCGTGAGCTGAGTGGTTAAAGTGGTCACTGAGTGTCACTTTCTTAGAACAGAATTGAGGCCAGTGGGGTTGCGTCTGCCACAAACGCCCCGACCTTTCATTGCCCCTAGGGCACCATCATGAAGACGCTGACCATGAACGTGTCTGTCACCTCAAGGTGGTTTCTGAGCCTGACACCTGCAGCTGAAGCCAGAAGAGAAAAGGTGGACAGATGTACGTACAGAGAAATCATGCACTTTTCTCTTTAAAACTCCAAAAAATAAATCTGTAACATTTTCAGTATACACGACAAAAAGCCATTTCTACATAAAGGTGTTACAAATCAAGAAATTATAACTATTCCAATAAATGGCTGTGGACATATAGAGCATATACAAGGGGTCACCAAACTTCCTGTAAAGGGCCAGTAAAAATATTTTCAGCTTTGTGGGTCCTATGGCCCTTAACTCCTCAGCTCTGCTGCTGTAGCATGGAAGCAGCCACAGACAATATGTGAGCAAGTAGCTGTGGCTGTGTACCAATAAAACTTTATCAAAACAGGCCGGGGTCCAGATTCGGTCTGAGTTGTGATTTAATGACCCCTAGTATATACCAATGGCAAAGAAAAAAAGGAAAGCAGAGTGTTTTCTTCACCTACTTTTTGGGGGGTGACAATCTGGGGAAGCCAGTGCCTCTTACTAGTACTGTTTGTTCATTAGGCAATTCTGGGTTGACTTAGTGTTAAATGTCTGAAAACTGAATTCTGTGAGCATCCCACTCTGCCCCAGGAATTTTCCGATTCACTTGAAGGCCCAGACACCTGCATGCTGACTTCCTCCTTTCAGCTGAGCTCAGAGGTTCTCGAAGGCAGAAGAATGGCTGCTCGGGGTTGCACACAGAAAACCACACATCTGCTTTTAGGTGCAATTTAAGAGCCTCTCCAGGGTTTCTAACTCCGGGCCTTGTCTCCTTAACTGCTGACTTTGGAACTTAATCCCCTGAGAAAGGAGCAACAGGAAGGGAGTGGAGAGACCCCATCCTGCTTCTGTCCCAAACCTCAAGCATGCTTTCTACAGTCTGGTTAGACCACGTGAGTGCCCACGAGAGCCTGGGGCCAGCCACAGGCCATGGCCAGAAAGACACTCAAGCCTGGATGGGAACCGGGGAGGCTGCACGGTCCAGGTCAAGTCAGAGAGTCCGAGAGCCAGCAGGGGTGCAGGGCCTGCCCCCCACCCTCTCCTTCATCCCGTGGTGCCTTGCTGCATTCATTCCTGAAACCCATGCTGGGGGCGAGATGAGATGGCTGGCCCAGAAATCACATGACGTGTTTTCTGGGTGCTTCTGCCTTTAGTTCCAACTGCTCGTGGAAAGCTACTCGGAGCCAAGAGTGACCTCCAGGGCCCGAACTGTTTTCTGGGCACCAGGCCTGTTTGTCCCCACTGGCACGTGGAAAGGGCGGAGGAGGAAAGGCGGCCATCGGCCTTCCCGTGACTGTGGGATCGAAACCGGAATGATCTGTCCTCTGAGCACGAAGCTGTCCCAGGGCCCTGCTTTTTGCTGGCTAAGTAACTCCCTAGCCTCCCCTCCCCTCCCGGCCGTCTCTACGTGCCCTGGTGGCGCCTGGGAACGAGCTTTCCAGAGCGGCCGGGCCAGCGTTTAGAGACACGGTGACAAGGACAAAAAGCCCCTGATGGGCCCACAGACGGGCGTGGGGTCCTAAGAGGCGTTTCGCGGTCCTAAGTCCCCTCTGAGGCCGTGCAGCTCGGGGCCGGCCTGCCAGGTCAGAAGCATTGCCGCGTTCCATCGCCAGGGCGGGAAGAAGCACATTGAAAAAGGCCTTTTCTTTTTTTGCTTCTCTCAGTGGCTACACGCTCAGCACTGACGTTTCAGCTGCACGTGTGTCATCCCGACTCCTCGGATGCAAAGCCCTCGGCAGGGAGTCCGACATCTGGTGGGCATCCAGCAAATGTTCGCTAGTCCTATTGTCGCCTTTGTCTGCTGACAGTGTGTGATGGTCATGGTTGAGAATGTGCCAGAGGAAACGCCCATCCCGAGGGTTCCTGCAGCCCTTGGGAAGTGTCTCGGCAGTGGCATCCCAGAGGTTGGGGAAACGTGGTTTGGGACGCCAGCTCCGCCGTGTGTGCTAATAGGCATGGCATCTGTGTTTTCAGAGCGGGCCAGCAGTGTGATGCTTCTGAGGACTTCCGGGTCTGGCCTCGGATGTCATAAACCCACTTTCACTGACAAAGGGACCATTCGAAAGCCACAGCCCCGCGAGTGGGGGGAGATGGCAGGAGGCGTGTAAGCCAAAGACACTGATGCTGGCTGCCTTCTGGTGAGTGCTTAACCATATGTGCTGGGCACTGCGTGCTCACCGATTCTAATCAGAATGGGCAGAGGATGAAAAGCAGTAGCATCTGAACAGCTGAGGCACAGAGAGGTAAAGCAACACCCTCGCTGTCCAGAATCCAAAGTCGAAGGAGGTGGACCTACTGCCTGCAGCTCAATGAGCGGCTCTGCTGAGCTCGGCAAGAAAACCACAACTCCACCCTGGACCCGAGCCGCGAGCTGAGTTGATGAGATCAAGATTGGAAATTACCTCAGCACAGTAAGCTTCAAAAGTAGGTTCCTGAGTTTTTGATCTACTGCCCTCTCTGTCTCCCCAACACAGAACCCGCCACTGATGAAGTGCCTCCCTAGCTGGATACACCAAGCAAAGTAGACCGAACCCAAAAGGAGCTGGTACGGGGGGCAGGAAAACTTGCAAATGCAGGAACATGACATAGCTGCATTCTTCCTGGGACAGGGTGATGGGCCCCTGGGAGAGCATGCAAATTCCCAGAGCCCCACCCTCCTCCCTCCCCAACCTTGAGCTCCAGCCTCACAGACTCAGTGAATCCCAGGGACGTCCCCTTATAAAGAGGTGGGGACCAGCCCTTAAGAGCAGGAAATAGTGTCTGTGAGGATGGACTTCAGGTTGCAAAGTTTTCTTTGACTAAAAAAAAAAAAAAAGAAAAAAGAAAAAAGAAAAAAATTCAAGTTAAGGAAACACACAGCTGGAAAACAAAAGGAGAGGCAGAAGATATCGATTACCTTTAACTTTGATTTCTCGGATCAAAGATCACAGTCATTCTGTTTCATAATATGTTTTGTATCCAGCTAAGGTGTGTGTCTATCAGCTCTGAAAAAGATTTGCAAAACCATTTTTGAGAAGAAGAAGAAAAGTCATCTTCTAACTCACGCTAACATTATCCATTTAATGAATATCTCTTAACCTGGGGCCACTCAGAATCCAGGACAGACCGGGACCCTCTGCTATAGTTTAAGCCCAAATTCAGTGTCATCTTAATATTTGTGCCGGAAATCACCCCAAACCAGGGTAATAATCACTGAGAGGAGGGACTTTGTGCAAAAAATGGGGATCTCTGAGATCGAAGTGTGTCAGCAAGATTACGGTGGTGTTTTTTTTGGTTTGTTTTTTTTTTTAAAGCTAGACAAAACTGGTCATGTCACAAAGTTTCAAATCATGGCCAACTAGCGAGATAAAATGTTAAAAGCTAGCTTCTGCTGTAATCAAGGGATATTAGAATTTCATGAGGGATTTACTCAAATTTAATCCTCCATCCGGCTTTCGTGTATGCTAAACTTGACCTCGTTTTTTTCTTACCAGTGATAACGACCTCATTAGGCATGCAAATTCCTAAGAATGCAGATTTTCTTCCTATTTTTTTTTTCGGTCAACAACGAGAAATAGAAGTTCTATTTTCATAGCCCCCTGCCCCATCAGAGCAGCGAAGGTACTTAAAAGGAGCTGGGAGCAGTCTACCTCACAAACCATTCAGTTATATCACATTTTCTCAATTTTAAATCACAATAATCTCCCCTCTGTAGCTGTATAACAGCTACAGCTTTCAAAACACTTGTTGTTTCCATCTGCCTTTCCATGGCCAAATTACAAGCCAGGGTCCATTCTGAGAGCCTGAGTAAGAAACATTTTCTGAGATGAATTTCTTCCAGGGAGTGATCCAGTTTCTACTAGATGCCTCTTTAGTAGCATCATTAGATAAACCAGGATGCTCTTTCAAGGTGAGGCACAAACGCCCTGAAATCTCATCTTCAAGGCACTGAACACTCGGGCAGCGCTTTTCAGCAGTTCCAGGCCTGAACTCCCAACCGCTGGGCTCCGAGAAGTTTCGTTTGCTGGGGTCTGGTCGGGGTTGCTCCCGAGCTGCTGCAGCTCAGGACAGAATAACCACATCCCGTCTCCTCCTCAGCCACTGCCGTAAACAGCTTGGACCATGCATCTCAGGCCACGCCATCTCCTTCAGTGAAATTCCAGGAGGCTGTGGCCCTAAGGCAGTGCCCTCACTGTGTCTGCCTGTCTCTGCGACACCCTGGCTTCTTCCAAACCCAAGGGCAGAAGGCACTGTCAACTCACCCAGGGTCTTAAAATACCACCTCTATCCTGACAGTGGCCAAATTAATGTTTTCAGCCCAGACCTCATCCCTGAACTTCAGACTGGGAAATGCCCACTGGGCATCTCAGACGTGGCCAAAACCGATCTCGTAACTCACCACCACCCCTACTTCCCTCTACAAAATAGCTCCGTTTTACTTGTTCCGACTGTAGGAAGCATGGTCCCTTCTTCTGGTTGTTTAGGTCAACCTTGGTCACAGCCCACATCCCCTCCTTACACCAACGCTTCTGGACCTACCCTCAGAATACCCCCGGAAACTCAGACCTCCGCCACGTCCTGTCTAGATCACTGCCCTGCTGCCTCACCTGTCACCCCGCCTCTGTGCTGGGACCCCTGGTCTCTGCTCAACAGCCGCAGGCTGGATCTTATTGGAACGTAAGGTAGAGCGTTTGGCTCAGTTGTTACTCCTGAGGAAGAAAACAGCTCCAAAGCTGCTCTAATGGCTAAAACATTTTGACCGTATCCATATGTACCCATTCAAGTAATGCTTAGTAGGTATCAGGTGCCAGGCACATTCCAAGGTCACGCCCTTGGAGCAGCGATTTGAATCGGGGCAGAACCCCAGGCACCAGCCAGGCTCCTAACGCCGGCTGGCCAGTTCGTGGTGAGTCTCAGTGGACTCAAAAGACCAGGCCCAGAGAAGCTGAGCCTGCTCCATTTCCACTCCCTGCCCCTTGTCAACAGAGTTCGGAGAATTTTTAAAGCATCAAACTGATCAGTTTGTCTGTGGTCTTTTGAGGTGCAACTTCCTGTTTAGTCATGAAGTTTCACTCTTTGTCTCTTGGTGGAAGACAAGCAACCAGAGCCAGAGGAAAGGCCTGTTTTAATTCAACCAAGATCCAGAATTCAGCCCAAGCCCCAGACCACCAGCAGCCACCTCAGTCCTCGGGTGGCGGTTCATGTGCCTTATTTCACCCTCACAACTGTCTCGGGGTTTGGTGCTGTCATGCTCGTTTCTCAGGTCAAGCTACTGAGGGAGAGAAACGTCAAATGACTTGTCCAGGAACAGCCCCCTGGTGCTGGGCAGAGCCAAGATCGGGCCTCAGCACTCCCGTGTTTAGAGTCACCATATGCTAGGTGACACCAATAAACCCTCCCAAAGACAGGTTGGCCTTTGTTGGTGTCACCTAGTAGTATATGGTAGGGAGGGAGGCCTCTGGTCCTAGAATCACTCACTGCCCCATCTGGTGGTCTTTGACGCTATAGCTGAAGACTTGTACAGTGATGTTGCATTTTTACAACCCTAGGCACAAATCAGTGAATCCTCCCACTGGTCTTGTGGATGAGACGATCATTTCACTTATGGATTGGAAATGGTTCACCGATTAACCAACACTGATAATTAACATGAAAGCATAAGGTGTCGACAAATAAAATACAGAGACATACAGCCTTGACAGGCAAAAACACAGACCCAAGAATCTGTCACCTTGACAAAATATACCGCTAGCTTCCAGGCTTCTGAGCACAGACACGCATGTTTCAGTGAGATGGAATTTGGTGGACAGACCTGTGTGCGCCTGTGTCATGAGCTGCTGGTAACTAGACAGGCTGGTCTAAGGCGCATTCGGTTCGATGGTCCTACAGTGAAGATACCGACGTCCCTCCCAGCGGGCACAGAACATGCTACCACCTTATCCGTTCTCCGCTTTGTCCACAATTACACATCAGCTTACAAACGAGGGAGAAACAGCCTGGACTTCCTCCAAGCCAAGCTGCCCCAACGAGGAAGGACTGAGCGACTGTGTCAACTCAGACCGGAGGCACGCTCACCCCTCTGCCCAGCCCCTTTCTGCAGTTCAGCAGAGTTTCTCGTGACGGCACGCAGCCAGCCCGCGCCTCTCCCCTCACGCAGCCACCCAGCTCGCAGGTAGCAACCACAGGCCGGAAAGCGTTCTAAACAAACCACGGCTGGCTTCCTTGTCCTTCTGCCGTTGAGTCATGACCTTGACCCCAAAACTCTGCTGAGCGGCCTCAGCCACAAAGCATTGCAAAATAAATTGTTGCCTTTTTTTTTTTTTTAAACAAAAGAGAAACAAAAGAAAAATAATTGTTACTACATCCAATTGAGACTCTGGAAAGAAACAGTGATCCAAACCCACAGAGCAGCCTGTGACCACAAATGAGATGATAAAATAAATACCTAACTGTTCGAGAAGCCATCCTTCTGCTTTGGGGTGGAGCGAGTCACCAAACATTTATGTTAAGGTATCTGAGTTTACTTATTCTTGCTCACGCATGAAAGATGGAACTGAGGCTGGGGTAGGCGGGTCAGACCCTCCAGGTAGGTCAGCAGGTGGAAGTCTGGAGGAGCAAGAAACACTTCCATCCATAGCCACTTTCCTCATGTCACAGAATAGCACAAAACGTCCTTGTGGCCTCTCGCAGGAGGTCCAACCCCCCGGTGTGCCCCCCGAGACCTTTCCTTCGAAAATCAGCATGGCCCCTGCTGCTTAGAAAGGGTTCACTAGATATTTATCGAATCTGCCGGCCTAGCCTCTGCCTCACCATCCCGTAAATTCACCTCCCAGATCATTCCGTGCCCTCCCCCACATGTCGTGACCAGCTCAAAGCACAACTTCCCAAAAAGACAACCACACACGTACGTGCACACGTCTCCTAAGCCCAACAGAAGCCTGTCCCGTAAGGAGGCATCCTGACCCCTCCACACTCCCTTCTCATCTGTCTTATGTCTTGAAATTTCCCCTGCACCCCCAGAGACTCCGGCCACATCTGTCTCCCTCTTGAGGCCCGCAGGTGTGAGAACTGGTTGACCTGCAGCTGCCTGGGCGCGTGGGCCTGTCCACATGTGCACCTGGCAAGCCCTCAGCATGGGGCCCAGCCTTGGACGAGCCCACCTAGCTGCCCACCATCCTGGGGGAGGGAGAGGGCGGGTGCAGGGCCAAACAGCCTCCACCTTCCCGGTCCAGCCAAGGGCCTGCGGCATGAGTAAAAGCAAGATAAACCAGGGACCGCCTGGGCCAGCCAGCCCACCCCTCCTAAGCTCACAGGCGAGAGAAGCCACGTGCTGTCTGGAAAGGAATTCCACCTGGTCCAGAGATTCACAGGTCCAGCTCCAGCATCATCGCTCTCCACTCAAAGCCTGCCCAGAGTGACGGAGAAGGACTGCGTGTGTGTGGCATTACACCAGGTGTCCCTAAAATACATGAACTTTCCCAGGACATGCAGACAGAGCCATAACTCCTGACGCATCCCCTTGACCAGACCTTCCACCCACACAGTCCCTGCTATAGACTGAATCGTGTCCCCCAAATTGCTGTTGGAGCCGTGGGGAGGTGATTAGGGCTATATCCAGCCATGGGGGTGGGGCCCTCATGGTGGGATTAGTGCCCTCAGAAGAGGAGGCTTCAAAGAGCTCTCTGTCTGTCTCTCTGCCACGTGGGGGCACAGAGAGAAGGTGTCCATCTGAGGAGGGCCCTCGCCAGAACCTGACCATGCGGGCACCCCAAACCCAGACTTCCTGCCTCCAGAACTGTTGAGAAAATAAATTTCTGTCGTTTAAGCCACCCAGTCTGTGGCATTCTGTTACGGCATCCTGAACTAAGGCAGTCCCGTAAGCACTGTTCTGCCAAAGTCTCTCCATTTCCGTCCACGTGGTAGGCGTCTGCCAGCGAAGCGACCACCGTTGCAAGGTTACAGCCCAGGTGAAGTGATTTGCCCAAGGTCGTACTGCTGGTCCGCA